AAAAAAAAAAAAAAAAAAAAGGTGTAATGACAATCGTTAATAAATAATTTAATAAGAAAATAAAAAAAAGTTACAAAAGTTTATTCATTATTATTAAAAATATAAAATACACAGCAAGGACAGCTTTTACATGTATCCCTTAAATACGCAATAAAATTACTTTTTTGTTTATTAATTTAAAAGAAGTAACAAGCGTGACAGCAAATTATTAAACACGAGGCACGCGGGCCATTATATTCGTCGCAATGCAATGACTTCAGAGAAACTCTTGTTTCCTGTCACTTTCCAATCATGTTTTTGCCTGCTCCAAACTCATCACGTGTAGATCTCTCACTCAATTTTTATTAACACTTTTTCACAAATTATTTTTTAGATATTAATTTTGATTTTCTAATTACTATAATTAGAAGGGTGCTTGATTCTCTGAGGAGACATGAGCTTTTCCTACAAGTTTTAATCATTTGAATCAGCTATAAACTAATTATTATTTTGGAATTTGGTTACACTTACACTTCAAGTTTTCTATCCCATCTCAAAGGTATTGAGAAATCAAATTTCAATCCTTCTTCACAAACTCAACATATGATTTGAAATTGTGGCTGTATTTATAATTACAATTTCATGACAATCCTTGGCATTATTTTGAATTTGGTAGTTAAATAAAGATGGAAAACCATATAGTATAATAGTTTATGAGCATTGGTTGAATTTGTGGAAGAAAGTAAAGTGGGTCACTATAGACTATAGAGTCCTATGAAATGATGACGCCAAGTCCAACAACCACACCCACTCACACTCACTTTCCCCATTCCCCTTTGTCTCAATATAAACCCCTCATCCCCCACCCTTTTTTCCAATCCCAAACCCTTCTCTCCACTCCAATTTTGCTCCCTCCAAGCACACCATGGCAAGCCCCCATTACCTCCTCACACTCTCACTCCTCCTCCTCCTCTCATGCCACACCCTCCAGGCCCAACACGACACCTCCTTCGGTCGTTCCATGGACCGCAAGCTATTGGGCCTAGACAAGAAAGAAAAGCTGAGCCACTTCAAGTTCTACTGGCACGACATACAAAGCGGAAAGAGTCCCACATCGGTGTCGGTTGTTCCCCCACCCTTGAAGGTTAACACCACCACGGCCTTTGGCCTGGTCAACATGATCGACAACCCGTTGACCCTGGGACCCCAACTCAGTTCCAAGCTCGTGGGGAAGGCTCAGGGGTTCTACGCCTCGGCCTCGCTGAGCGAGGTGGGCCTTCTCATGGCTATGAACTTTGCTTTTGTTGAAGGGAAATACAATGGCAGCACCATCACCATCTTGGGGAGGAACTGTGTCTTCAACAAGGTTAGGGAGATGCCTGTCATTGGAGGGAGTGGACTCTTCAGGTTTGCTAGAGGCTATGCAGAGGCTAGGACTCATTCCTTTGATCTCAAAACTGGGGATGCCAATGTTGAATACAATGTCTATGTTTTGCATTATTGATCATCATCATTTCTCTTGTATAATAATATAGGAGACCAATCATATCATCATTATAATTTAAGATTTTATTCTTGTCACTGCTAGTTTTAGTTCACTCAATCAAAGACTGATCTTGTTACTTGTTACCAGTACTGTTACTGATCCAAAGGGTTCTCGCACACGCCATGTATACTTTGTTTCTTTACTTGTTTATGTTCTTTGCTTTTGATGCTTAGCTTTGCTTTTTTAAAGAGGTGGGGTTATTGCTTATGAACCCATCTTTTGTTCAGTCTGTTTAAATTTGATTATGTATTTGTGGTTGGTGTGATGATTACAATAATAATTTATGCAGCTTTCTTTACTGGCTGCATTTGGAAAGTATTCTAGCAAAAAATATAAGGGCAATGTTGTATTCAATTCGCGTTTTCAATTGTGATGAGTTGGAGAAAAGGCTTTTGCAATTGAGGGACTCTAACAAACCAAAATGCAAGAAATTTAATTGTGGTCGAGTATGTATGCAATCTCCTTGGCCCTTTTGCTCACTGTGGTTCTACTGATATGAAATTTCGTTTCAACATTTCATCATCTTTTCTGTTCAGATTAAAATTAGGGACATTATTAATGAAACTTTGGATGTTGTGTTTCTTGTACAAGAATTCAACCTTTGGTTATCAAATTTTAGTATTATAATTACCTCCTATCTTCACATTTGATACTAGACCTTACACTTAAGTGGCAGATTTTCTGATTGTAGTTCAGGTAACTAAAACTAATATAATTTTTAAATGAGAAGTCGTTGTTGTTTACTTTTTGCATCAATCAAGTTTGGATTCTTCTACAACTAAAGAGTTGAAACGAGATAGAGACAGAGAAAGGGAAGTCATACCAGAACTTTCTCATAATTGTGTTAATTGCTAACATGCTATACCTGTGTGGTGTAACTCTAACTCTAACCTATTTCTCACTATTTTTCCAATTGACACAATATTTTAAAAATCACGGTGCCATGTCACCTGATGATTAATCAATTAATTGATAAGAAAGTTACATTGTCAATTCTGCAAGCAATGGATAGTTGGTATGTTTCTTTTTTTGGTTACACAGGTGCCAAGTTTCTAGCATAGGCTCGACATTTTCAATTGTCAAAATACTATATTGAATTTTTTTTTTCTGTCTCTATAAAGTAGTACAAATCAATAATGTTTTCAAGATATAAATGGAACATTATAAAGACAAAGAATGTTTTTTTTTAATAAATAAAAATTAAAATAACACAATAAGTTTGATCCTAAAATTTTGTACATGCTAATCTAACATTTTTCCAACTAGGCTAGACAAAAATGTGTTTTTATAAAACAAAGAATTATTTGATAAAAACTTACTATATAAGTTTATTTTCACAAGGTTTAATGCAAATCTTATTAAAATAGATTCAAACAAACAAACAAGGATTTAGATTTCTTTCATATGTTTACCTAGATACCCGTGAGTATTTACACAACGAGATAAACATAAATCTATTTATTTGTGAATCATTTCTGTCTAGTCCCTCTTTTTCTTCCCTTTTTTGTTCAATTTTCAAGCAATAGGAAGCAAATAACTTGTTTCGTAAATAGTCACGCGGTTAATTTGTACTTTGTACGTACTTGATTTCTTGAAAGAAAGAAAAAACATTTTTCATAGAATCAATATACAAGCCCACACGACACGTTCAACTCATAAAGCTCCAAGACAAAGGCTATGCCTAAGTCTTGCAACAACAGACGTAATAAATGTTCAAAGATTTTTCTTCACGAAGATCACTAAAAAGTCTTCGCCCTACCATAATTTCTTCTTTCTTTGAAGCAAACCCCACGAATACGTTATTTTTTAGTAGTTAGAAAGACTAAAAATTGCATTGAAGTCATTTATACATTATTTAGCAAGTCTATTTCAGAATTCTGGTTCCTCTTATACCATTAAAACAATGAATAAAAAGTTGGTAGGTTTAATTATTGATGCTATCACAGTGATAATAGCCCAGGAATGAAGAAGAGAGAAAACAAAATATTGTTGCAATCTTATCTAGAGAATGAAAACTTGTCAATGAAATTATTAAGCTATCCCTTAAATACATAAGACTAAAGAAAACTAACTAACAAACTAAGTAATGGCTAACTGAAAAATAAAACTAACTAAATTATATATTTACATCATAAATACAATTTTATAATCTAATACTCCCCTTCAAGATGGCAAGAAAATGTTGTCTATGGCCATCTTGGAGATGATGCTAAGAAAAGCATTCTTAGGTAAGGCTTTAGTGAAAACATCCACGAGTTGGTGATATTTTCTGACATGGATTAGTTTGATGATGCCTTTGGTAACCTTATCTCGGATGAAATGGAGGTCAATTTCGAGATATTTTGTTCTCTCATGAAAAGTAGGATTGGAAGCAATGTGAATGGCAGCTTTATTGTCACAGTACACTGAGGCAAATGGTGTGTTGATGTTGAAGTCAGTTAGCATGTTCTTCAGCCAAGTAATTTCATTGGATACAGAAGATAAGGCCCTGTATTCTGCCTCTGCAGATGATTTGCTCACTGTTTTCTATCTTTTGGATTTCCAAGAGATTAAGGAATTCCCTAGGAAAATACAGAAGCCAGTTGTGGATTTTCTACTGTCATGACAAGATCCTCAATCTGCATCTACATATGCATGCAATCTGGTATCTGAATTAGCTTTGAATAAGATCCCCTGCCCAGCAGTATGCTTGAGGTACCTAAGTAACATATTAGCTGCATTCATATGGTCAGTATATGGATTAGAAACAAATTGACTTAGCTTGTGCACTGCAAAGCATATGTCAGGCCTGGATATAGTCAAGTATAGTAGTCTGCCAATTAGCCTTCGGTATTTTCTGGGGTCTGACAGCTTTGTGCCTGATTCTGCTTTGAATTTCAAATTGGATTCCATTGGGAGTGATGAAGGTTTGCATCCCAACATTCCACAATCTTCTAGGATTGACATGGTGTAGTGCCTTTGACACATAAATATTCCTTCCTTGGACTTGGGTAATTCTAATCCAAGAAAGAATTTGAGATCTCCAAGATCTTTTTACCTGAAATGTTTTTGTAAAAGAGTTTTTGTTTGTGAAATGACATCATTGCTTGGACTAGCAAGGACAATGTCGTCCACATATACCAAAACAACAATGAATTTGAATTTTGTGCCTTTAGTGAGTAAGGAATAATCAAATTTTGATTGTTTGTAATCGTGAGATAATAAGGTAGTGCTGAATTTGGTAAACCAGCTCCTTGAAGCCTGTTTAAGGCCATATATAGATTTATTGAGTTTACAAACAAGAGGAGTCGGTGTGGTATTTATAATATTATGATTATAGCCTTGAGGAATTTGCATAAATATTTCTTCCTCAAGGTTACCATTTAAAAAAGCATTATTAACATCTAATTAAATAGATGTCAATGTTGAGATGCAACTAAGAAAGAGTAACCTGAGTGTGGTGATTTTCACCACAGGAGAAAAGGTTTCTTGAAACTCAAGGCCATACTGTTGAGCGAATCCCCTAGCAATAAGTTTGACTTTGTGTTTGGCCATTGTTCCATCAGAGTTCAATTTAAGTTTGAAGAGCCACTTGCAACTGATTGGCTTTTTTTCTGGAGGAAGAGGCACTACATCCCAAGTATTATTGACTTCCATTGCAACCAATTCATCAGAAATAGCTTTCTGCTAGGATGTTTGCTTGATGGCTTGAGCATAAGTTTGTGGTTCAAAATGTTCTGAAATTTTACAAATATAGTGTCTATGAGAATTAGATATGTTGGAATAGTCTAGGTAATTTTGGATAGGATATGGAGTGATGGGAGAATCTGTGACATTATAACAATGGTAGTCACTTAGGTATCCTGGAGGATTAGTAGCCTTATTGGATCTTCTAGGAGGAGGGTGGTCCTCAATTGGAGGTTGTGTATATGTTGTGGTGATGTTGTTTGGAACAACTATAGTAGGGATGTGGTCATCACTTTCATCTGAAATATAAGAGTTGGTAATATTAGGAGTAACAAAAGAATTTGTATTTTCATTATCATGAATGGTTTGAGGTGGAGTTTTGAACGGGAAAATATGTTCAAAAAATTTAACATCTCTAGAAATGAAGATTTGTTTAGTGGAAAGATCAAGGAGTCTATAACCTTTGTATCCCTTGGGGTAACCAAGGGAAATAGCAGCAGTAACTCTGTGACTGAATTTGTGCCTGCTAGATAATAAAGTGGATGCATAGCATAAGGGCCCAAAGACCTTGAAATCGATATAGTTAGGTAGCTTATCATACAAGATTTCAAAAGGAGACTTAGAATTCAGAACAAGGCTTGGAGTTCTATTCATGAGGAACATAACAGTTTTGACACACTTACCCCAGAATTTCAATGGAACATTAGATTGAAACATTAAGGCACGAGCAATATTAAGAATGTGCAAATGTTTCCTTTCAACCACACTATTTTGTTTTGGTCTTTCTACACAAGAGTATTGATGAATGATACCTTTCTTTGAGAATAAATCGGTGAAGGAAAGTTCTTTGGCATTGTTTGACCTGAATGTTTTAATAGTCTTATTGAATTGGGTTTCAATATAAGATATGAATTGTGGTATAACAACAACACAATCAGATTTATTCTTTAATAGGAAGATCCAAGTAAACCTACTTTTATCCTCAACAAGAGTTAAAAAATATTTGAAACCATCATAGGTATGTTCCCTAAAGGGCTCCCAAATGTCAGCATGCAGTAAATCAAACAGATTAGGACTAAAATGATTGGGGTTAGGGAAAGGAAGTCTATTTTGCTTGGATAATTGACAAGTGCTACAATGAAAATGTGGATCAGCAGAAGACAAAACAATTTTACTAGCAATCAAATTGTACACATTAATAGGAATATGGCCAAGTCTTTTGTGCCAAATATCATATGAAACAAGGTTACAATAGTCAGTGGTATTGAGAGAAAATTTTGACATAGGAAAATCAAAAAATAGTAATCCTTGGTCCTGCTTAGCAGTGCCAATCCTCCTCATTGTCGTGAGGTCCTGAAGCACAAAACTGTTAGATTGCATAGTAAATTGAAATTGATTTTCATTGATCAATTTAAGAAGGGAAAGTAGATTAAACCGAAATGATGGTATGAATAACACATTGTGCAAATGGATGTCATGATTTAAATGGTATGAATAACACATTGTGCAGATGAATGTCATGATTTAAATGAATACTACCTATTCCTTCTATTTTTACTTTAGTGGAGTTAGGCAGCATAACATAAGAATCAGATAAAGAAGTGTATGAATGATACATGTTTCTATGGCAACAAATATGAGATGTGGCC